AACTCGACTTGCGATCAGAGTCACGGAACGGATTAAGTTCGTAAGTAGAGGTACCACTGTAGTTGCAACAAGAAAATGACTTAGGCATCACATCCACAATTTAAATAGAAAAAAGATGCAGTTTCTATAAAATAATTATTGAATGTTGAAACACCCAAGTACCTGACAGTAACTGAATTAGTCTTCCTATATTTCTATTAGCTACCTGGCACAAGTTGAGTAATAATTAATTTAAATATTAAGAAAAATGTGTTCATAAAACTACAGTGGTATTCTAACAGTTTAATGATTGTGCAAAATCCATAGCAGCCACTGAAGATAGCCTGCATCAGAAAAGGGGTGCATTCTTTGCGATGGAAGATCATTCTACTTCCACATCTCAAGGGATTTTTTAGCAGATTGTACTCCTTTGATACAGGGTTTGTTCTGTTGAATTTGAAAGGGCTATGTGGAACAGTTTACAGTGTTCTAGATTAATTAAGATTATGTTCTGTTTATTTTCAGTAATTATGTTGCACTGCTTTCATATTCGAGTAATAAACTTGTTTTTGTGTTAAACAGGATAACCAATATCTACATATCTCTATAGAGGAGATAAACTCTACTCTAATGTTACATCAGAAATTGAATGATTTAAAATTTTTCAATCTGGATTCCACAGTCACCAATCTAAGCTGGAGAGTTACTTCATTAGAAAATCATATGTTCGTTGTGAATAAACTGGAAAATAGAAAGAACCTTACCTTTGGTATGGTAAGTATCTAGCAATTTTGAGAATTAAACACTTGCAATATGTCAGTTGTGCAATATAGTAAGTGAACTGACATAAGGAAGAGCAGTGAATGTCTGTATTCGGTAAAACTAAAGCTGGATATATTGTTGCTTGAGTGTAATATTTCATGGTATATAGACTTTTAACCCTTAGAAGAATTTCTTGATTGAAATGTTCTACTTCATTGTTGACGTTACTACTATTTGCTTGCATAACTGTTGAGGCCTGTGATAACAATAAAGACTGTCATGTTTGTACCATTCATGAAAATTATGCTTCACTTTTAATAATTAAATTGCAAGATTATATGGTAATGTCTCTTGCAATGAAAGCTCTTCCTTGGATCAGTGTTTGCTGAAGAATTTTGAATGATCTCTTGTAATGACTGTCAGTTAAAATTCTGTACTATACTAAAATATTAAACTAAAATGGGGGCTGGGATTTCCACAAGGTTAGCTCCAACTTTCTTCCATCTTTTATCATCTGGATATGTCCTTCCTAATAATTTCTGCAATATTTGGGCATGGGATTTGGGAGGTATTATTTGAAAATTAAAAATAATGAGCTGATGGAATTTTTATCTGTATAGCAAGTTGGCTGGCCAGTAGAGAGAAGAGTAATGAATTTACACCTGTTTTAAAACTGAAATACTGGAGAAGAAAGACTACAATAATGTATCCCAGCCTGATGTCCTTAAGATATATTTCACTACAGGCAGTCCTTGCTTAATATCCATTTGTTCAGTGACCATTTGAAGTTACAATGGTGCTGAAAAAAAAGGACTTGCGACCTGTCCTTGAACTTATGACCATCACAACGGTCCCACAGTCACATGATAAAAATTCAGGCCCACCCGCATTTACGACAGCCCCCCCCCACTGCCCCGCCGCCCCCAGCTGATCTTTCTACCTGTCCTCCTTGGGGCGATTATCCTGTTCTTGCCACACTGGGGCGGCTGGGGCTTCGCAGCGCTGGGGCTGTGGCTTCATTCCACAGTGCTGGGGCAGCTGCATCTGGGTTGCAGATACCCATATGACCACTAAGTAACAAGCAAAAGAGAAAGGAACCTGTAAGCCTATTCTGCCATCTAGTAGTTGAAAAGTTGATGATCTTTTGGTGAAAAATTAAAAAGAACTTTGGTTGAATAGAGCACCTAATGTGTACAGGATGGTGTATCTGTGAGTGAGCAACATTTTAAGATTTTGGATGATCAGTCTGCAGTTGTAAAAGGGTTTATGTCACCTTTGACATACTAAATTATATTTTAGAAGTCACAAGCAAACACATGCATTATATTATCTCTTGCAGGTGGGTAACCTAACTACCTCGGTAAATATGGAAGGTGAACCAAGAAATGAAACTACTGCTGAAAAAGTACAAAATATGGAGGTAAGTTTTGGAGAACCATAATGAAGGTGATTTTTTAAAGCCCCCTTGAAATATGTTGCATTTTAATTACTGCATTGAAGGTTCTGTCATAATTTTTATATTGTCTTCCTGGCTTTGGGGATAAGAGGAGCAGGGTACAAACTCAACTTTAATGATAGAACAATTGAGCTTCGTATCCCTAATGCATAAATTTTCCTCTATCTGCAAAAATCCATTTGCAAAAATCCTATGTGAACTGAAATGCTGAAAAGATTATATTGGTTTGGTCTTGAAAATAAAATACTTTCATCTGAGAAAACCATAGTTAATGAAAATGTTCCATTAAAGATACTATGAGGATAGAAGGCATACATATTCTTGATAAAAGGCAGTGACGTTTTAAAAAAATCCTGCCACAAAATACTTTTTATTCCAACTTTTTGCATTCAAATATAATCTTTTCACAAGTTTTGATTGAGACATCATACACTGCATTGAACCATTATGCGGTTTGAACATGTTTATATTCATGTGTTGCTGCAGGCATTTGAACTGGCTATGGATATTTTAATTAAGTTATTAGGAATTATAGAAAACTTTTTTTGTCAAGGTTAATGATTAGGATATAAAAATATTTATAATCCTTTAGTTCTCACCAGATCATCTGGTGAAAATTAACAGATTCTCCTTAATATAAACGCTCTTAAGGATAAACTATATTGCAGTGAATTTACAGTGCTGTGTGTATACAAAATTTATACTTTTTTGTTTCTTCTTTATAAATCTACCCACAGAAAAGAAATTCCATTGCTGCATTAGAAATAAAATGGAAGAAAGTGAAATGATACCTTGGAGTTTTTACAGTAGTTGATATTAAATATATACCTTCCCCAGTGGTGACAAAACACGATATGTAGTTTTGTTTATTCACCCATGTTGAGTTCTGTTTAACCCATTTAGAAGTGTAAAGGACTCTTGAGAATAGGTTCTTGTATCCTCTCTTTTACTTTGGGAAAATAAAGCATGTTTTCAAACATTTCAAAACTTTAATTATGTTTGGCAATTGATTGAACTGAATTTGGCTGTTATTATTTAAAGCTGAAAGTCTATAACTCATACCTTTTTCTAAAATACATTAAAATATAATAAAATATGAATCTATGGGACATTAGAACATCAACTTTAATCTTAGTTAAAAGCCTTAGATACAATCTCTCGTTTCAAAGGAAAACATGCCTTTAAAGGAGATACATTCACAAGGCAAAATTTTCTCAAAAAACTTTTTCAAAAAATCAGCTTTCTGTTCCTAAGGAACATAATTCTTGTGCTGTAAAACTACTCAGATTATTTTATGCTGTAACTAATTATTAATTAAAATAATTAAAGCAGGATTCATCATAATTGTTTAGAAGATTATGAGAAACTATTTGTAGAGTAACATTACAGCTTATTACCAGAATCAATGAATAACACTTTAGTTTTAAGATTCGAGGAGAAAATGCCAATTCGTCAGCAAATCAAGCATTATTATGTATTTATATGAATCATAGATTGATAAATTCAGTATAGAATCATGTGTAAGAGAAGTACTACAGAGAATCATTTTAATTCAGTCTATTCAGCTCCTAGATAGAACTACAACTTGGTAGTTATGATACCTGAAATTAGTTATGCTTCTTAGGAATTAAGAGAAAATTAAGTTGTGGTGGGTTTTGACATTGCCAGTTCCCTTTTCAGTGTAGATAGTTCTGAAACCATCATAATAAATTATAGTTTTGCAGTCACAGTATTCTCATAGGAAAAGAATTACATGAATATACCTGCTAGAAACATCTAAACTGTGTAGTGTAATTTGTATTAACTACAGATTGGAGTAGAACAAACAGGGTTTCATTGGGATTTTTTTTCCTATTGGAAATCTACAGAAAATAGAAAATGGAGAATCTCAGGTATCCAAACTAAGAGAGAAGCTGCAGTTGATTAATGCTCTGTCAAGCAAGTCAGATAGTGACCGATCTGAAGCACTTAAAGGTAAACTCATATAAATGTCATATTGCATATTGTATTAGAATATTAAGCTAATTTCATTTTATTATGCTTTAACTACTAACATACTTTACTGAATTGTTACATGTGTGTACCTGAAAGCATGGGGATCTATTTATTGGCTAGCATTTGGATTCAAGCTTCTGAACTAAATCTTTTAGTTGTCATATTTCATAGAACTGAACATAATTTTCAGAATTTATATATTTGTCAGTTCCTACTTGTGACCGCCCTTGATGACCATCTGGAACTGGAGCAGAATGCAGCGACTTGCATGCTGACCGGTACTGCCTGGTATAGTCACATAACACGTGGCAGCCAATGCAGGATCTGCATTGGCTGCCACTTGGTTTCCAGATGCAATTCAAGGTGCTGGTTATCACCTTTAAAATCTGATATGGTTTGGAGCTTGATTTTCTGCAAGAATACCTACTCCAGATGGAGTCTGGGTCACCTATGATGGGCCTGCTGAGAATCCCATCTGTCATGAGATACAACAGGAGGGAACTTATTTATGATATTTGTTGATTTTTGCTGTAATACGCATATTGTCTGATGATGTTATACACTGGTTACTGCTGCATGATTGAAGTAGTATAAAATAATTTGAAATAAATAAAACTGCTTTATACATTCACAGAAGCATTTATATCTCTCTTACTCTGATAATATGATTAAAAAAAACGTAATAGTTCTGGTCTTCAAATCTCCAGAAGGCAGTCAGTCTACATGTTTATTATTTACTTTTGTATTAGCTAAAGTGGAATATACTTGAAATCTGTTAAGATTTCTTGTTTGTGACTGCTATATATCATCTAAATATCATCCCCCTCCACCATCTTGAGGCATAATATTTATTATTATCAAATAAGAAAAAATATAACTACTGTAAAATTACTTGACAGTAGGAAATTCACAGAGCATCACATCAGAGCCTACAAAACTTCCAAGAATTTCTTCAAGATCACTTGGCAATAATTTTGAGGGAAGTCGACACCCAAGGGGTTTGTCCTTACCTGGAATATCCAACATGGAAGGTAAAGTTTCAGTTTTTGGACATGAAAAAAACATGTTTTGTGTGCAACAAACAATAACAGGATCCTGGAAACTAATATATTTGGATAAATAGATGTCAAAGAGTTGTCTTTACAAATTTAAGTAGGGAGTCTACATTTAGAAATGATGAAATAAACAAACACTTAAAGATTGATCTATGATGGTAAATATTCACTTGATTGTGTATAAATATTTCAGAAGGGACAAATAGCTGCTAGTTTCAGGTGGGATGAACAGGGTTGGGATTACAGGGATATACTTAATCTCATTGTCAATGCATCTCTCTCTTTGAAGTTACTGTTAATTGTAATAGCTTCGAAAAATAAGATTCTTATTTAGATCATCAAGTTGGCAAAAAGGGTGAATCCCTGCTTTTGCAGGAACTCCATGTCCTGATTATCCCTTGGTTTTCTTAAATATTTTGTATTGTGTTATTACCACAGGTCATTCAATTGAAAATGTTAAAGTAACAAAAGAAATATTCTGAACATGTCTAAAATGTATAAAATAATATAAAATGGGCTATTGTACTACAGTCTACTCTGAATACTTGAAGCAAACAATAAGCTGTATTGAGTCAATCAGTTGACACACATTAATTAACATTTAGCAATAACTATTTCCAAATGTTTAATGCTGCTTTTGCTAGTTTAATGCATACATACGACATATGGTTATTGTTTTTGGGTCAGCTCAGACATGATTTTCTATAGTTTAGTAAACTGAAAATGAGGTTGCACTCTGATCTCACACCATTTCTTTTTCCATTACAAAGCAACATTGGTGTTTCTTTCATGGTTTGTTAATCAACCATGATTAACTGAACTGGGATACTGTAGTTTTATACTTTCTAGACATACTATGAAAGTAACTTTTCTTTAGTAAACCAGTGTTAAACCATATTTTCTGAATTACAGATGAATGAGAAAATCTAGTTAAATAATCCTTGATAGAGGTATCAGTGCTGACATTAAGGAGACTGAGTTTGGGGGATATGGCACTATTATTGGCATAATAAAGTAATTTCTTAAGCTAACCATATTGCAACTGAATTGTGCAGATCATAAGTGTTTCGGGTGATTGAATTCAGGAGAGAGCATGAATGCTTTTTTATAATTATTTTTTTGTCCTTGCAGATCTTCAGAATTTATTCAGGGCTTCTAGCCAAGGCACTAATGGCAAGCTATCATATGAGGACCTGGAAAACTTGGTTGGATCTACAGTGCGTGATCCACAGAGTTTTAAGGAATTTGATGAAGATGGAGATGAAAAATACTCTATATCAGAACTGAAAGTGGCACTGGGTCTATAGTATCTTTACTTACAAACACAGTATTGAAGGACTACAGTGGCTATTAAAAAACCCAATTGGATAAGTAAAAGCTACTTCTAGCACTTTTCCCAATGATATACTAATCTTTGAAATTAATTTAGTGTATCAACTGACACCTTTTAAATTTTCTGTTCTTTGAAAAATAGTGAAAAGCTTTTATATTTTTATCTGTTGTAGCATAAGAGATGTTGACCCCTGAAAGTTTTTCCAGCTCTGAGGCCCTGATCCAGGGGTAAAATAGCCATGCCTAAATCTGTTTATGCAAATGGGGCCTATTAATAGCAAATACATTATTGCATTGGTTTCGATTCCCACAGAACTAGGTACATTTTATTTTTCCTGGATCATGGCCCAAGGATTGCATTGCATTGAATTGTTGTAATGAAAATGGTAATTGCACCTTATGACTATACTAAGAATTTTAGCTCAGAGTTTTTATTTCCCTTATAAGGGAAGCTCGTCTTCAAGTTAAAATGTCTGTATATATTGACAAATACGACTTTTATATTTCAAATTTGCCTTAAATTAGCTGCACTTTAGAATAAAACATAGAAATGATTTGCAGGATGGGATTCTTCCGTTTATAAATATTTAAAGTAGAATAAACATATACATATTTGGGTCAACTTGGCATTGAAAGTAATCAGTATTCCAGTTTGTATTAAGTAAAAGTTGGCAACAGAAAACATTTCTTCCTCCTAGGAATTACACTTGTATGGCACTCCTTTCCCATAGTTGCCTGTGAATCACTGGAGAGTTTTCTGCTATTCAAGGACTAATAATCATGCCAGACTCTAAAGAAGACTTCAGTTCTTTAAATTGAAATAAAAGACCTTCTGAGAAACAGGTTGTAAGAATAATGAGTTCTGCTTTTAAATTGAGCATAGATTCAGTTGTTGTTATTTTCAGTTACAATAATTTTAGGAAGAGGGATTCTTACTGGAAACACTGCAATGTAGACTAAATATTTACTTCAGCTTTTTCCCATTATATTGGTTGATATTTTATTTAATTAATCTTCCCCAATTTAACATTTTAGAGGATTAAAAGTGGTGTTAATGGTTATCGTAGTTAATATTATCAGTAATTCTGATACTCCCAGCAGAATGAAATGAACAGGACCAAATTACATGTTGTATTAACATGTACCTCTTTGCATTTTCACTCTGTAGTTTGCTGTTTTGTTTTAAGATTAATTCCAGTGTGAGGTTCAAATGGATTGGAATTGTGGCATGGACATGGGGTGGGTGGGGTATTACTGTTTTCTCCATACTGTAGTTAAATCTCCTGCCTCTTAAGTTGCAGTTTGAGTCTTAAGGCAAATAGCATTTAAGAAAGATTTCCATTGGGAGCACAACATCATCCTCCCTATGTACTGTGATCTATCAAGTTTAGTAAGCTTTTGCCTTATTCAAAAACATACCGTTGTGAATGTGAAGTCACTTTTGGTGATGTGGCTTGAGCTGTAAACTTGGAAATAAGCATTTTAAGCTACTGTATTTTTTTGTTATTAAAAAAAAAACCAGGTGTTGACAGGCAGACAAATGGTAGGATTTCATTTAGTAAATAACAGCAAATAAACATTCTGTATGTACAAACTACTGAACAAAAAACAGCAAGGTCTTCTAATGTGCCATTATTAATGTAAATCTAATTTTAAAATGACATGTTGCTTAGAACATTATCAGAATTGTTAGCTTTTTTAAAATAGCTTTTAGTTTAATAAATTTAAGTACTCAGGAACCGTCATTGCCCAGAGCAAAATTCAGGCTTCTTGGGGAAGATAATGGCAGTGGTTTCTATCCAAGCACGGAAAACTAGTGTACTAGAATATGATGTAAATGGACTTTTTCCAAAAATTTAATGAATAGTTTTTGAAAAACCAGATTCCCTTATCTAGATTATCTAGAATTTAACTTGTTTCCTTAATTTTGTATGTTAGCTATGCCCATTAAAATTCAAAATTCATATTGCAAGATAACTGAAAACCGGTATTCTTTCGGATAAAGTTAATTAGTTTTATATGCTTTCTGTATAAAAACCATTGACCAAATAAAGCAATAACAAATATAGCAGTATTTGTTTGTATGTATGTAATATAATTGTATAGCAAAATATTGAAGGTATTTTTAAAGGTGGCTTGTTATGATCAATATGAAAGGAATGACTTCTAATCTTAGTATTAAGCTAATTAGCATGAGCACTTTTAGGGATTGTTTTCAGATACATTTTTGTCATAACAGAAAATCTCATTCCAAAATTTCTGATCTAATTTAAATCCCGAAGTCATAGTCCTCAATATCTCAGTAAGGGAAATATTTGTTTGAAAACTACCCTATACTAAAGGAATGCTTCCATTGGAGAAAATGTATCTAAGATTAATTCGTACTGTATGTTACGGAGCAGGAAGGAAGGTGTAAGATATCCCTTGGGCTGACTGATTAGGGTTCTTACCATACCAGCATTTCCCCATTCCTCAAGTGTTTATGTCACTCTTGAGAAAGAAACCATTCATATTAGGCAGATTTAGGAACACAAACTGATCAAATGTCTTAACTCTGAAGTGGTATACTTTTCCTATTTGCAAGCTTTTCAGAAAGGTAATTCCCCATGTATAATCTTGATGTAATGCTATCTTACTGTTTTTGAATGTAATTAGAGCCTTCAGAGTACCTCGTTTCTCTTATGGCTTGTTTCTTCTAAGTTGCACATATCTTTGTGCATTTAGAAGTGAACTTATGTATATTACTAGGAAAACAAAATAAATGTGGCAATCAGACTACTATGAATATATAAACTGGCCTAAATAGCATATTCTTAGAAATTTTTTAAAGGTTAATTAACAGCGTGTGCAATAGCTGTACAGTGAGAACTGATTTGGAGTTGAATATACAGCGCTCTTCCCAAAGCCAGAACCTGCTACTTCAGGGATAGTTATTTATGGAAAAGCAACATAGGAACTGGCTAAACCACTGGTTGAAATCCTAGCATTTTCCCCATTTTAGCTTCATCAACATAATGATATTTCATTCTGCCATCAAGAAAGCATGAAGACTACTCTTCTGAACTGATGCCACAAGTCAAATCGTGTCTGTCTATCAGCCATGCTGGGTGGGATTGCTGGAAGCTGTAACATACTTTAGAAGAGCACCAGATTTGGGAAAGCTCCATCGGACATTAAGCTACAGCTCATTTTTTTTCAGCATTCATCTTCACAGGTGCCCATGAAATGGAGTGGTCTCTTTAGCACTGTAGTAATAGAAGGCTTCAAATGAATGTTGGATTTATTGCAATGCTTCCGATGAATATATTCTAAAAAATGAGATTATTCAGGTATTTCACAACAATAGAATTCCCTGATAAGATTAGGGATATTCAGAGTAGATAGAATAGGGACAGGGTAACATGCAATAGTGGAAGGTATTGCATCTTTTGTGATTGCACAAGAAAATCTAGTGGCGCTTAAAAAGCAAAAATTACTTGATTGCAGATTTTTTTTTTGGTTCAGGATAATCAGATGAAAAAGAATAAAATTTAAATTTATAGAAAAGGTATCTTATTTCTCTGTATGGAGAACCATAAAATTGTAAAGGAAAAAATGCTTAAGAGTTTTAAAAGATCTAAACCTGTTTTTCTTGTATGGGAGCATTGGCTGTACTTCCAGTGGTACTGCTTTTTATGCCACAGAAATGTGGGAAAAAAATTCTGTTAGAAAAGTCAAGTGACTCTGATTTGATATCTCAGAGTGAAAATTATGTTCTTTGAATATGAATAACTAGTCAGATCTTTAACACGTTAAAACATAATTTTCTGCCATGAATCATAGTGTTCACCTATGGAACTTGTTCTTTAGGATTTGTGTTGGAATCCACTGCACTGAAAGTTCACCAATTTTACATTGTATAAAAGTAATTGATTTGCATTGTCCTCCTACTTAAAATAATTGAAATGCTTTATAAAATTGGGCTTTGCAGATGTGCAAAAGCTCTTATGGAGTGAATTAAAGCTGGATTTAGCTGTTGCATTTTGCACCTATTATGCATTGTGAATGTCAAATCTAAATAAAATAGTTTGTTTTGGGTGTAATGGCTATTTTATTTCAAGATGCATTTTTTCAGTTAGAAAAATATATTGTAGGATAAACTAAAGTGCTGAGCTTTCTCTTACTTTTGCTCAAAATGCAGTTCACTTTTTAAAAATCCTTTTGTGTTCATGGGAGTAGTATAGTACATAATAAACTGATTTGCAACAACAGCTGCTATTCCCAAATTTCCTCCCACAGTAGAAAAAGTAAGTTGGTCCAAAATATTCACTGATAAGAAATGGGCCCTAATTTGTACTATCTTTTACTTTCATTTTAAAAAAGGCTGCACTATGAACACCATTTTTTAGCCATGGCTAATTTTAAAATGAGGCAGGTGTCAGAATCAATAGTAATTCAATCTAGTTCAACAGAAAACAGAGAGGAATGGTCACTGTAGAGAGAATGATTACCTGCCAATTTTTCATATTAAAAGTTATTTACAACAAACCCCCACCCCGAAATGGTGGCAATGGGGATGTTCATTGCAGCCCTATTCATTCTGCAGATGTACATTGCAACCCTAGTAATTTATCTAACATTTTCACTAATGTTTTCATGTTAATGGAGGAAGGCTTATAGACATGATATAGGTGATAAATGATCTATCCTGCCCTCTATGGGGAAAATACAGTTGCCTAGATGCCTTAAATAAACATCCATTTTAGCTGATGGATGTCCCATTACAGAAGTTTAAATGTATGCATTGCATTCCAGAATTAGAGAAGTAGTATATGCATTTTTTCCAATGTTTCTTATAAAATCGACATTACTGGTAAGTCTTAGGCTATTGTAGAGCAAATAATGAGACCGGGTATATGATGAAAAGTGAGACACTCAGGACTATGTAATGTCTGCTGATTTTAATTATAAACACTTCCATACAGTTCGTTTCTTGATGCAGCCTGGATACTGCTGATATATATCAAAATATTTGTTACTAAGGTTAAAAATAGAAGCATGGCCATGTAACATTCAGATCTTTGGCCAATTAGGATGAAATGCAAATTTAGAAATCTGGGAGAAAACGTATATTTCGGTTACATGATATATGAAAGTAGGATTGTAAACACAATTTCTAAAGGTTACACTAGCTGTAGAAGGCACAATGTCTTCCCAGTATTAAAACAGTGCTTGAATGAACACTGAGGAATAGTTTGAAACTGGTCTTTAATTGAGGCATAATTAAACCACTTAACAATATTCCTATCCATGGCATTTACTGCTAAGCAGAAATCCTGCTACCAATACCGTATGGATCATTTTTCAATATGGTTGGTTTTAGTGGTGAGCTGAATAGCGAACTTCCAGCTGGAATGGTAGAGCAAGGGTAAGAAGCTGAATGAGCAAGCAGCGGCGGCAAGTGAGAGAGTGCACAAGCACACACAACTTCCTGAAATATCGGTTTGTATGGAGCTGAATCTGGAAGTGAAGGGACAGAATTGTCATTGCTCTCCACAATATTCTCACTGGACAAGAAAGTGCTTTGTGGTTCTGGGATGCTATCAGGATTGCAGATAGCTGCCTTTGTTTTAGGCTGGGCTTCCTCATCAGCCCTGTGAGCCAATGCATGCTGAAAGTAAGACTCCGCTTTCAACTGTTTCACCCAGACTTTTGCGCGGCGCTTCTGAAGGATCCGTTTTCGCCATTGAAGGAACAGCATACAACTGAACACCAAGATGTAGCAAAAAGCTAGACTTCCAAAATACACGGGCAGCAAACCTGTAATTAGGCCATAAAGTAAACTTCAGAAGAGAATTTGGTTACATATTTCATTTGAGTGTTACTATTATTGCATGAGGAGGAAGTTGTGAAAGTACGTTTCAAGCTTTCACAAAATCCCCAAAATATGTATGGAATTCTGCCTTGGGTAAAGGATTCATCCACATTTTAACTTGGAATGTGTTAGCACGTTAAAAGAATCAGGGCTCCCTCTGTCTCTTCTGTAAAGCATTTTCACAAAGGTAAGAATTTGATATGGAGGCTGGATTGCTGGAATTAAATGATTCAAGCTTTGTGATTTGGAAGAATAGCTTAAAGATGTCTGCTTACAGCTTTTAGAGTTTTGTAGTATGTAGGTGCTACGTCCCAAATCTTCCAGTTCAGACATGGTGGTAAGGACTTGTAATATTTAATAAAAAGTTGTTTTCTGACC